GACGCAATGCAAGTGTGAAGAAGATATGTAGTGCATGTAAGTTACTACAACTATATGACTAGACAGAATCTGCGCCTGATCACAGATATTCTGACTGGTCATTGCCAAGTACAGAAACATCTCCATCATAGAGCTGTCAGAATTGAACTATGCAGGGGATGCGAACAAGGAGATGAGGCACTCCTCTACGATTGCCCGACGTTCTCATTTATTAGAAGATTTGTGTTCGGCGAGAATTGGCTAACACCGGCTGATATAATAGAAGGCAACGTTGTCAACTACATTAAATCTGCAGTCTGGCTCAACGAGCTAGGAGGTGCCTATCTACTTAAGAGGATGCCCAATGGGCCTAGTGGCCACACATTAGAGATACAGATATAGCCCTGGCACAAAAACCCCTAACCTATGAAAAAATAGCAATATCTTGATGTTATTATATCTTGGACAGATGGAGAACATATTTTGTCTTAATCTAATTTGAAGATACTCAAACAATGTATCTATGAGGATAACATCAGGTGGTCAAGTCCTCATACCTCTACACTTACGATTCTAAAACCAACTAAGGCTCATGATATTGAATATATTTCGGATTTCTGGACCTAAACATAAAACGGCCATGTGGAAAATGCAAACTTTGGTGTACTAAGATGACTAATAATCCAAGAGCCCACTGCAAATTTCGACCGTCATCTGATAACGAAATGAAATATGTTCCAAAGGCATGTAAAAATATTGTAGTTTACCAAATGGCACCTGTGCCTATCACTATCCTGAGCAAAGTAGTTAAAACAATGGCACTTCCGGTGACCTAATTAGCGAAAAATGTCGTCATTGGATAACGAGATAAGACTTCTACTATAGGATAGTCATTGCTTAATAGAACTCAAAAATGTACCTGTGCCTCCTCTTTTCCTGAGCCAAATACTTGGCACGGCCTTTTTTTCGACCAAAATTCTTGACAAGCTCCCGTCATGTAATAACGAGTTAAAACAATATGCAATATAAAAGGCACAATGTCCCATTCACGAATATACACATGTGCCACGTTTTAACCTGAGCTAATAAGTTGCTGACACAGCGTAATTTCTGAGACGCGCCTCGCCCCAGCTAATTTATTTCACATATACAAAAAATCACATAAGCCATGACAACGAAAATAATTTGTAATGAAAATTACAATCCTTATAATTAATTTTGTGAACCTATTACTGAAACCTTGATTTGTATCCCTATTCCAATTTTATAGACTTTTAAAATGACTTAAAAAAAAGAGGAGGTACTCAAATCGTCGGAATATTTTATTTTTTTTTTATGTTCAGCGATAAATTTATATATCTTGTCCGATTTTTATGATCATCGTTTTATATAAATTTGGTCATGATCTGATGATGGGATACACGAGAAAATAATCAAACTTTTCAATTAGCAAAGAAAGTTGGTTTTTAAAATTACTTTCATAACTTGTCAATTATTAAAATACAGATTTATTATTTACCAGAATAATTTTTCAGGTATTTATTTAGATACATTTTATTACTTTTTATATTTATAAAACAGTGCAACTACAAATTGAATATAGAATTCAGTACGACGATGATATGGTTATATTCGGAAGGTTTCCAGAAAATGTATAAAAGGTATACTAAGAATTGTTAAATTATTTATTTTTAAGTACATACATGAATAATTAAATAAAATAAATATGTATACATAAACAATTTATCAATACAAAAATATATTATTATTAAAAAAAATCCATTTCGCATCATCGACGTTCAATAGCATTGGGTCTCTCTTGAACCATGTAACTTTGGGTGCCAATATTTGTAACCGCTGTTGTTGATTTTTCAATTTATGGGGTCATGGATTAGGCACTAGGATATAATAACTGAATTGCCCTGAAATTAAAATTGAGCACCACTGGATTTAAATTTGTATAAAAGTAATTGATGAAAATACGGAAACAAAAATAACTAATAAATTTTAATAAAAATAAAGGATATGCCTTCAGAAGATATGGTAAAACCAAATTTTAATCTACTAAAGTTTCTAATAATAAAATGACTCTTAAAGTTATCTATTTTCAAATAGTATTCGGTACAATATAAATTTTGACTTATTTTAACGAGGTAGAGGTTCATCAAGGGGTAGAAGACGTCTCAGCTACGATGAAAGGCAGCAAATCCTTGTAGCTTTCAAATAGTTCAGACTTTTTGACGTCAATCAATCATTATACTTCTTGGGTCTTCAAGACGTTAATTACTATACAAATCAGCGAATTTATCTTCATATAACCAGGTAAAGAGCTTTTAAATCACTCTTCATATGATAAAAATATCATTTAAATCGTTCTTTATATAAAAACATCTAAATCATTCTTCTAAATAAAACAACATCCATATGTTGCAAAGCATATTTAATCTAATGGTTCTTAAAAATGAAATATAATCTCTGTATCAGAGGATCAACTCGATAAAATAAAATTCGTCTTCCCGATTCCAAATTCAGAAAGGAATGACCATCTAAATGAAATTATACTGACAGACACCGAATTGTCATCACAAGGAAAGACATGGGGTAACAGAGGTATGAAAGACATACATATACCGTTACAACCACACTGGTCCCAATCGTTCGTTTAGCTCCCAACCGCTAATTTACTAGCCAAGAAAGCAGCCAACCAAATAATTTTTGGACCTGGTCCTTCTATTGGCCTGACAAAATTGGTAGTGTCAGACCTAATTAAAGAACATTCCTTTGTGAAATTCAAGGAAAGATGGGATGAAACTGCAGAGTTGCTAGGGAGCTCTTAAGTTATCCTGACAACACTGCAGCAAGCAAATACTTGACTCTGACTAGACAGAATCTGCGCCTAGTCACAGGCATTCTGACTGGTCATTGCCAAGTGCGGAAGCATCTCCATATCATGGGGCTCTCAGAATCCGCACTCTGCAGAAGGTGCGAACAAGAAAGTGCGGAAGCATCTCCATATCATGGGGCTCTCAGAATCCGCACTCTGCAGAAGGTGCGAACAAGAAGATAAGACCATCGAGAATATCCTTTACGATTGCTCGACGCTCTCATTTATTAGAAGATTTGTTTTCGGCGAGTATTTGTAGAGGTCCGACAGTTGAACAAGGAATGTCGACCTCCTATCGATTGTGCCATTTAGCATTTTTAATTGATTATAGTCTGATTATAGTTTAAAAGGTAAAATTTAATAATAATTCAGGTTCAAAAAATTATTGCTGTATTAAATTCTATATCATAATAATTTACTTGTTTAGACGGATATAATTAATAACATTTATCTAAATGAATACCTATTAAGTTGTTCTGGTAAATAATAAACATATGTACATTGATAATTGACAAGTTATAAAATAATTTTAAAAAACAGACTTCTCTTTGCAAATTGAAGAGTTTGATGCCCTTTTTCTAACAAAAAAAGAATCATGAAAATCTAACTACGTGGTATAGAGTTATCGCTGAACATACATACAAAAATATATATTCCGACGATTTGAGAACCTCCTTCTTATTTTTAAGACTGTTAAAAAGTGTATAAAATTGGAATACAACATAAGGATTCAGTAATAGGTTCACAATTAGTTATTAGGTTTGTAATTTTCAATACAAATAATTCTCCTTGTCATGGCTTATGTGATTTTTTGTATATATGAAATAAATTAGCTGGGGCGAGGCGCGTCTCAGAAATTACGTTGTGCCAGCAACTTAGCTCAGGTTAAAACGTGGCACATGTGGATATTCGTGAATGGGACATTATGCCCTTTAGATTTAATATTTTTTTAACTCGTTATCACATGACGGAAGTTTGTCGAGAAATTTGGCCGAAAAAAAAAGGCCGTGCCGAGTATTCGGCTAAGGAAAAGAGGTGACACAGGTACATTTTTGAGTTCTATTAAGCAATAGCTATTCCATAGCAATAGTCTTATCTCGTTATCAAATGACGTCATTTTTCGCTAATTAGGTAGCCGGAAGTGCCATTGTTTTAACTACTTTGCTCAGGATAGTGATAGGCACAGGTGCCATTTGGTAAACTACAATATTTTTACACGCCTTTGAGGCATATTTCATTTCGTTATCAGATGACGGTCGAAATTTTCAGTGAGCTCTCCTACTATAAGCTGTATTACAATATCAAAATCCGACCTGGTCGGTCCATAGGAAGGCTATGACCCTGGAAATGATCTTAAACAATAGCGCTAGAAAAGAGATAATTAAAAAATAATTAACAAGTTATAAAAGTTATTTTAAAAAACCGACTACAAAAATGAAATGTTTGATGATTTTCTCAATCATCAGATCTTGATCAAATTTATATAGGATCACTTCTGAGAAACCTATTTCTGGTTGACGCATCCTAATAAGGAAAAACCCAAGAATGACGTTCCCTTAGTAAGCAAAAGTAAGATAGAGAGAGCGTTGAAAATTTTTTTCTATATTTATAATTCATTGTCTGTTGCGATATTAGCCAAAAAAAGTAATTGTTTTCCGTATTACGTTGTGACACATTTTCTACTTTTCTTTAGTAAAATATTTTTTTGGTAACTATATTCATAGCATTATTAGCGATTAAGTATTATTCATCTATTCATCTTTTACAGGGTTACCCAGGGCAAAGTAAGCATTGAATAGTTTTGAATGTTGAAAATAGTGTCATGGCTAAACATAGATTAGAAAGGTCCGTTTCAATATACCTTCTATATGAACGAGAGTCCAAAGCAGTCGTACTTTTTGGTGGGCATCATAGAAATCTTATTTCTGGTAGAAACAGTGGAATAAACATTATTAATTCCCTTTTTCGCCTCAAAAGAAGAACTAGTTGTGCATTTTCTACTACATACATATTTAAACTGATATTTAGAATTTGGTATGTTCTTTGATCACATTCTAGTTGGATCGATTGTGTGGGCAGTTGATTCGACCACAAGTCAGGTTTAAAACTTTTATAGTTTTATAGATGTATTACTCACTTGTAAAGGGTAAACTTATGGTTAAATTTGAAAAAAATCCCTCTGGTGGGTACCTAACGAAAGGTAATGATAACGATGGTGCTATAACAAGTGTGGTGCCTGGTGGTAGGGCTAAACGACCATCTTCTGTTAGCCAAAGGATTCTTTTTTGCCTAGATTTAGCACCGTCTTTTGTTAGAGATGACGGAATGGCTAGTAGAATAATAGTAAGAATGTTCATGGTTTTTAAATAGGTTTCCGCCATTTTTACCTGAAAAAAAAGTAATCTAATTAATAATAAATCCTAACGTGTTTCTTTGGTGCGAATAACCGTTCAACAAAACATTATAATTGGGACGTTTATAAGCTATTTATTATTGTGTAGATAGGTTTGGAGTAGTGATGAAACTCTAAACCGTAAAGTGGGGCTATTTTGTATCACTTTTTTGACTAATATTTTTTACTAATGACTAAAAAGTCCTTAATGGCAATTTAATTCTTTTTTGATTATTGATAGCCATTGTATAGCTAATGAATTGACCCTAACTACATTTTTGAGTCGATTAGTTACTCAATAAGAGCCAAAAATAGTATATTACACACTGAGGTGGGAAGAGTTTCATTCCTGTCGTGAGATTAGTTAGATCACCGAGACGCGAAGCGTCGAGGTTAGCTATGATCTCGAGACAGGAATGAAACTTCCTACCGAGGTTTGTATACTATTTTATTTACAACCATCATATTTCGATCAAAGTTAATAAATCTCTGTTTCTCAGAATAATCAAGTAAATATATTTTTACTGTGATTACGGGGTAAACAACTGTCACCAATATAAATACATGTCAGATAAAGCCGGATATTAAATTCGCGAATAATAAATATCAATAAGTAGTTTGTTGTATTTTAGTTCATTGTTGTTTTTTATTGTTTGCCATTAAATAGGTATTATAAAATTTGTCAAAAAAATGTGTTATTTTTTTTTAATATAAAAAATATTCATCTAGAATAGATGAAATGAGGGCGGGAAGTGAGGGTGGGAAGTGAGGGCGGGAAGTAAGGGCGGGAAGTGAGGGCGGGAAATGAAGGCGGGAAGTAGAGGTGTGTAATGTGACACTTCCCAACCTTCAATGACGTTAGTAATGACAACATTACATATATGGTTGTAAATAAACTAATTTAAATGGTGGTGCAAAGTAAACCACAGAACGGTTTTACTTTGCACCATTCGGTATCTAAATTATTTTTACTTAGTAATTTGCTACTGGTACAATGGAATACTGCGTAAACACTAATTTTGCGACATTATAAATTAAAGTACCTACATCTGATTCCATAACTATATTTTTTAGACATTAGACATTCGTTTAAATCGTCTGATATAAAGTTGGAATATTTCCGCGAGCCTAATTTTCTTTTATACTGCCGCGGCATTCCCTAAAAAGAGGAGAAAATACAAAGTAAGGCCCTTTATCGAAGTAAAAAATCTGATGTGTCCAACACATGATTTTCCCATCTAGTTATTACAGGCTTTTTTCGGTTATTTTGTACAAATTATTGAACCACCTCTGTATATATCTAGAGGTTAACTTAATATATACATTTTCCACATACATCTAACTCAAAATTTTTTTTTATATGCTGAAAAAATGCTGAAAAATACTTTTCCTCCAATTTTTCCATTACGGTCCATTTTAGAGAAATCATGCAAAAAACAGAAATATACGGATCGACATCGCAAACATCTTTTAGTTCAACAATTTTCTTAAAAAACAGAATTTATTACATTTCGTAACATTTCTCGGACTATTTTAGGAAAATTTTGTATAAAACAAAAATTATAGAGAATAATATCAGAACTTTTATTTAAAGAATTTTGTTCTCCAAATGTAAATAAATGACCCCCTATAAAGTACCCCCCAGATGATCCGACTCTGCCCAAAATCTAATCAGTTTACCGCAGGCCGGAATAAAGCATAAGTTTAAAATTTGGTGTTTTTATTTGTATCCGTTCATGAGTTATCGTGGACACGCACGCACGCACGCACGCACGCACGCACGCACGCACGCACGCACGCACGCACGCACGCACGCACGCACGCACGCACGCACGCACGCACGCACGCACGCACGCACGCACGCACGCACGCACGCACGCACGCACGCACGCACGCACGCACGCACGCACGCACGCACGCACGCACGCACGCACGCACGCACGCACGCACGCACGCACGCACGCACGCACGCACGCACGCACGCACGCACGCACGCACGCACGCACGCACGCACGCACGCACGCACGCACGCACGCACGCACGCACGCACGCACGCACGCACGCACGCACGCACGCACGCTCACACATCATCGCGAAAATAGTCAAAACGGATTCAGGGGACCCCAAAACGTAAAAATTCGTCGAAAACTCGAGGTCGAAAAAAATCATGATTCCTATGCTTTCCTTATCTGTATACAGATAGGAAAGTAAAAATTCATTTGGATAGTTAGTTTTTTAAATTATTTTAAAAAGCCGAATCGGTAACAATGATATAGGTAGGTACTCTATTTTATGTAAGTAATTATTAATATAAATCATATTTATGGTAAAAGCCATTAAAGGCCAGATGGATTTTCCATAGGTACCTAATGTATTTCCTTACAATTACAAAGTAATACAAAATATCTATTAGTATTACGTAAATTGTAAATCTCGGTATTTTTTTAATAATATAGGTAAATAGTATAGAAATATAAGTTACATGTTTAGCCTACCGTCATAAAAAGGCATTATTAATGTATGGTCGTTGGAACTGGAATTTCCCAATATTATAGTGGTAATTCTGTATTTCAATACGTTTATTTTTAACGGGTGTTACATTTTACGATTTTAACATTCTGTAAAATTCTGTAAAAATAAAATTAACGTTAAAAGTAGTCCAAATTTGCAATAAAATATGGTTAAGTTTTAAAGTCTGTCCAATAATTGTCATTCCTTTTGTCATATCACTGAGGCCCTTACTGAGGTATTGCATTCGTGCAGTCGAAACAATTTTCTTACCCCCATTTTTTAAAACTTTTTTTTGTTTCCGAAAAATGCAAAAAAAAATTTCGTCTGGTCGTCTGTCTGTATGTATGCCGGCACAATAACTCTAGAACGAAAGTTCTGATTGACTTGCGGTTTTGATTTTCTTGAATAATTACTTCTAACTTCGAACCCTATTGATTTTCAGAATTTTCTAACATTCTTTACATTCCATAAATTGCAAACATTCTCTAACGAGCTGTCAAATAACAGCTGTTGATAGTAAATGTGAAATTTCTAAGGCGGGTTGTGACCTTTATATTTGCAACTATAGCTATTTTAGAGGCTATTTTTATTCGAAATTAGTCGCCAAGCCTGCCAATTTATGAAAAATATATAAGCAGTCTCTTAAAAATTACTTTTTTATGGTGGTGCTAACTTAAGCGTACTACTATTTTGCCCTTAGCCATAAAAACACCTTCATCAAATTTACTGGCTCTCTGTCGCAACCCCATAGAATAATTAACCGGCCATTTTATTTAGCAAAAATCAGAATAATGCTTGGCTGTGCCTGTCAAGTATCAAGATGTAAACTGTGATGTGTGAATAGCTCTTAAATGTGTAAAATTATTTAAAAATGTATGCCTCTTTTGATATTGTAACGATAGTCTAATTTATTTATAGTTTATTTATTTAAAACACTATTTACAATTTATTTATGACGTACTATTTAATTTATATAATACTTAGACACTAACTAACAATTCTAATTTATTTATTACACTAACTTTTCATTACAATGTTCTATACTAAATTAAATTGTGCGCCGATGAGTCGGCTATTTATACCAAGCCAATTCTGTGCTCGTCGTTTCTAGGCGCTCCCGAAAATTCCATCTCTATGACTCAACGGCAGTCTCTCGAAGCGTCAGCAGCATACCTAGAAGATTTCGTCGTTTCTTGTATATTCGAGACGCGGTCCGACTGTTTTCACACGTCAGCGTTGCTTCGATCATGAATCGAGTGGCAGACTTCCAAGGTCGCGCGTACGTATTGCAAATAATTTGTAGTGTATCTCAATTAAATAAAGGTACAGCAAGACAGATAATATAATGTTCTTATACAAAGCACTTTTTTATTATATAAAAGAGAGGTAGGATATAATGCTGGTTTACATATTCAACCAGCGAATTGTAAATAATTAGTAAACTCCTAGTCATAAATTTTCTTAATTAATAAAATTTAAAAATGAATCTTCTTACCTTGGGATTTTAATGACGTAATGTGATCAACCCATTTCAAATTTTGATCAATTATGATACCGAGGTATTTTGTTGTGTTTTTCATTTTAATTATAAAGTTGTCATTTATTTGTATGTTGAAAGAAGGCCTTTGTAAATTACATTGCTCTCTATGGATCTACATTAACACAAAAATAGTTTTGTGGCTATAAGTTGATATAACCTGTCGTCTCAAAACTATTAATAATTTAAACATAGTAAGTAGTAAAACGAGGGGTAAAATAACAATAAATGAAGGGAAATACTTAAAAAGGGCAGATTTAAAGAGTATTATCACAAGAAACTATATTCGTTCTGTTTATTTATCAAGTATTGTTTGAGGTTACTTTAGAATACATTTATTGTTGTTTTTTTTTTAAATTTCTGTAGGCAGTCTATTAAATTTTTTAAACCTTTAATAAAAATTATAAGGAGCCCAAATATTTTACATGAGCAGGCTTAAGAGGTAAAGGGGCGGACCAATTATTATTGGATAAATTGCTGGAACAAGTTTTTAAACCCTAATCAAAAGGCGATATAGAATAATTTTAAAAATCAAGGCTTGTGAAAATCATCACATGGTTGAACCTAAGTAATGCCAATGCTTCACAAAACAAAAAATTCAACGTCCTAATACTACTATCGGCTTTCGGTCTTTCGTTCCAAGTTAAATCGTTTCTCGTTTGTTACGCTACGAGTTTACCCTTGTGGGCCTAAGTCTCGATAAGGTGGGAACCACCATTTTAGCGTCTCTCGAATTTATTGTATGTCTGTTTTTGCACAAGAATATTGAAAAAAGAAGCGGCCAAATGTACTTTATAAACTATTTCGTAGGTCATCAATTTTCAATAACCCCAGTAACCTTATAATAATGCCCTTCTACCGCAAATCAATTACTAAATACAAAAAGTTTATATATACTATAAATAAAATATAATTGCTAAATAGAATTTGTGTAATTTAACTGTTAAA